TTTTTGGAATCTTCTTCACAGATCACTTTTCTTTGGAAAACAACTTCAACGTTCAGTTTCTTTAGAAAACTTACTTATTGATAAGGTTTCTGGAAAACTTCTTCATCGATTAGTTTTCTTTAGAAAAGTTTTACATCGATCAGTTTCCTATGAATGACTTCATCATTGAAGAGTTATCTCTCTAACACCTTTAAAACTTTATCAATACAGTTTTCTCTAGTAAACTTTTTCATAGATCAGTTTTCTTTACAAGATTTCTTCATCAATCAGTTTTTTTTACAAAATTTCTTCATCCATCTTTAAAAAAAACTTCTTCATTAGTAATTTTTTATAAAATTTTCACTAATCACGTCATTATCGGTAAATTTTTCTTCATCGATCAGATTTCTTTATAAAACTTCTTCATTGATCAGTTTTATTTAAAAAAAACTTCTTCATTGATCAGTTTTATTGAAAAAAAAACTTCTTCATCGATCAGTTTATATCGATAAAGTTTTCTGCATGATGTAATAAGTGCATCCTGGTTTTCTGTATAAAGCTTCCTCATTTATCAGTTTTCTTTACGAAAGTTGTACGTCGATCAGTATTTTCAGAAAACTTCTACATTGATCAGTTTCTTTTGGAATACTTTCATCATTGATCAGTTTTATCTGGAAAACTTTTACATCGTCCAATTTTCTATATAAAACGTCTACATCGATCAGTATTCTTTTAAATAAACTTCTTCATTGATCAAGTTTCTATGGAATACTTCTTCATCGATCAATTTTATATGGAGTACCTTATTGATCAGCCATCGATCTGTTTTAGAAAACTTCTTCATCGATCAGTTTTCTTAACAAAACTTCTTCATCGATCGGTTTACAAAACTTCTTCATCTATTAGTTTTCTTTACAAAAAGTTCATCGATCAGTTTTTATTGAGAAAACTTCATCATTGTTCCATTTACTCTTGAAAATATCTTCATCGATCAGTTTTCCTTAGAAACTTCTTCAAAGAGATAATTATTCATTGCTAGATCAAGATATAATTTTGACTAACAAGAGACAACCACTATGTTTACAATTTACCTAGCATGACGCTAGAGTTCACACTCATGCCTAGAAACGGCCTAGGCTAATAATAAATAAACATTATCTTCTTTAGCAGGTTTCAACTTCAGCATTAGTAACAAATAATAACAAAACCCTTATTTTTAATTCTCTTATTCTATTTATTAACTTAAATCTAAAACGATGCCCCAATATTATAGATAACTAAATTCCAAAAATTTCCAATGATTCCATATTCGATAGTTCTTTTTGGCATCCTTACTTTTATGCTTTTCAATTTTTATCATCTTTGCCAGAGGTAAATAATCCTCAACATTTATACGTTCAAGTCTAACATGACAGGGTTTAATAAATTTATGGGCATCTTTTAGAGGTACCCAGCCACGAGTTTTCGTTGACTTGGTATAATCTCTCATACTGTGTTGGTTGATATTATTTGGATAGAATATTTTTTCCTGATGATTAACGGAGGTAAGCAGTACTTGTTTAAAACCAATATCATTTAGAAAATCATCAGCTTCCTCATTTACCTCGCGCCAAGTTGCTGCATCCAATTTTGTCGCTTGTTTACCCTCTAATTCAGCGGTGAGTATTAGATCTAAAATATCTCTTTCTAAAGCTAATCTTTTGTCCATGGTTAGTTTGGAAATGCCACAAATATTTTGTAGTAGCAAGTTTTGTGGCATTGTACTGGGTTTGGGTGTGGTACTACAACTTTGATCATCTAATTCAGTACTGATTTTCACCACCGAGTTTCTAAGAGATTTTGGTATGGCTTCCAGATCATAGGCTTTACTAAGACATTGTATTAGAGGTTTCAAAACCTCCCACCTATTCATGAGATCACCGGTGGAAAATGCCGCATTAGGATCATTAGCATAGGAACGATTAAAGGCAGCATTAATATTTTTCCAAGCCCATACCGAATAGTCAGCATCATTGTAGGCTCTCACTCGTGGATTATAGAGAAAGGGATATTTTTGTATCAGGTCCAAGAGTTTGCCATCGTTGAGTACCGTCTTGCCCTGAGCATTAACATTAGATATGTTAAGGACTTGTATACTGCGATCACCCACCATTTGTTTATTATTAGTTATTATAGAAAGGATTTTCTAATTTTTGTAAATAATTCTGCTTTGTTTACTCTTTTTTTTATCACACACTCACTAGAAAATGATAACACGTTAAATTTATCAAGTTGAATTTTATCAAAACGAATTCAGAGTATTTTTTATGTATAGAATTTGACAGCTTCTGTTTTTTATATATTAAGTTTGACAGCTTCATTGACCAAAAAAAAAACAATCAGCTGTTTAAGCACCAGCTTTTATCAATTTATTTTGTGACTTAGGTTGCCATATTGCTACTTGTTTATTTACATTAAATATGGCAACATTACGTAAAGGTTATCATCAAATCACGAACTACAATTATTTCATTGGCCCCAGATGATACCGATACAGCCCTTTCATTAAATTTTGGAATTCATTGAGTTTACAGTTCTTGTATTTCCGGCAAGAGATAAGTGTGTTTGAGAAGACAATAGACTAAAGAAAATGTTGCACATTGAATGTAAAGATTCCAATTTGGATCCAGTACCCATTAAGGTAGGAAATATTTGCTGTACTTAGTATATAATAGTGAAATGATTAATGGCATATTTTTGCTATAATAGATTGGTATTATTGGCGGTTCTGGCCTAGATGATCCTGATATTTTGGAACAACGCAAGGAAACCGTGGTTACTACACCCTATGGTAGTCCTTCTGATGCTTTAATTGAAGGTGAAATCAATGGTGTAAAGTGTGTGTTATTGGCTCGTCATGGCCGTAAACACAACATCATGCCTACCAATGTCAACTATAGAGCCAATATTTGGGCTTTACGTCAAGTGGGCTGCACACATTTGATTGTTTCTACGGCATGCGGTTCATTGCGTGAAGAAATTAAACCCGGCAACTTGGTGGTGCCTAACGATTTTATAGATCGTACTACGAAAAGAGCACAAACATTCTACGATGGTGCCGACACCAGTCCCCAAGGTGTCTGTCATTTGCCTATGTATCCGGCTTTCAGTGAAAGATGTAGACAAATTCTAGTGGCCAGTGCCAAAGAGTTAGGTATTGATGTACACGATAAGGCTTGCATTGTCACCATTGAGGGACCACGTTTTTCTTCACGTTCCGAAAGCAACATGTTTAGACAATGGGGTGGTGATTTAATCAATATGACCACCTGTCCCGAAGTGGTTTTAGCCAAAGAAGCTGGTTTGCTTTATGGTTCAGTGGCTATTGCTACCGATTATGACTGCTGGCGTATGGGTTGTGAAGGTGTTAATGTTCAAGATGTTTTAAAGACATTTGCCGAAAACGTTGCCAAAGTTAAACAGATCTTAGTGAAAGCTGTGGCCAATATAGCCAAAGAAGATTGGACAGAGGCTGTATTAGATGCTAAGGTATGTTTATCTCCAAACTTTTTAAAGCTTATTTGTGGTAAAACCTTTTTCTTTTTATTTCTCCTTACAGCAATGTGTTTGCAACAATACCATGTCCGCTAAAATGTGACGATTTTTAAAACTTTGCCAGGAAATAACCGAAGAATCTTTACAGCACAAGAAGCCCCTAAAACGCTGCAATAAATGGGCTTTTATTTCACCATATAGTGAATTAAAACCTAAAATTCACTCCATTTCCATATTATATGAATTAGCAGTTAACGAAACAGCAACATCAGCAAAAACTCAAAATAAACCCAAATCCAATATAGAAATTAAACATATGAACGTTTAATTTTCAAGTATTCACGAAATGCATTTAATTTTTCAATTTCTAATAAACCAAATAAAAATTAAATGTCCTTTCAACTCAATTACCTGTTTGATTTAGTTGTGATTGTTTTAATGATCTGTAGTCTTCAACTTAAAGTTATTTGTATTTTAATTTTTGTTTGCATAAAAGATTTGTTGTTTTTGTTAATTTTACGATTAATTTAGGGACATTTACGTTCTACTTGACTTTTGCCAGATTCTTCATACTCTTGCGAAGATATCCACATTTGTTGGAATGTGCCAATTGATGCTAGTATTGAGCCACCTATCCAAGCACCAAATCGTCTTTCTACACTGCCATTGGCCGAAATCATTTTCAGTCGTGTATTGGAGGGAGCACGTAATTGTAGATCACGATTTAATCTTTCAGGAAAACCTTGAAGCAATGTATTGCCACCTATAAATACGAATAAAGTTATGATTAAAAGTTTACACACACGGAGGCACATGATAAGATGTACTAAGATGTATTGTAAATATATTAACACAACCAAATTACCTGTTACCACCACCGAACCGTATAATGATAGACGCACATCAGCATCACACATGCCCACACTAGTCGAAGCCAACTGGCCAGCACCCAAAGGAGCATGATCGAATAAACTTTCCGCCAACTTAAAACGTTCTGAACCGAACTCCTGATGATAACCATTAGGAAATTCATAATGTACCATGGGTATCTGAGAGGCGACTCTCTCGTCAAAGGGATTTTCCAAAACTTGCAATATATTCATTTGGAAATCTTGTAACAAAGATTTCATCATATAATTTTGCCAAGATTGTGTGAGATTTTCGGGCAGTTTACGTGTGGTAAAACGTGGTGTATCACGTTCCTTAACCACATCTTTGGAAGCAATATTATAGGCTGGGGTCAAGTCAATGCCAGCCTTTTCTAAATGTTGACGACACTGCATGGATAAATAATCACCGCCGAGAGGTGATTTCACCACAGCCTGTGACAAAACATAACCTTCATGCACGGGTACTGCTGAGGTATGGGTTGCTCCACTGTCCACCACCAAAGCGGTGGCTCGACCACTAGCAAAAGCCGCCAATACGGCATTTTTTACCAAAAAGAAAGCGGGCACATTATATTTTTCAAACATTAACTCTGTCAGCTTTTCACGATTGTTGCGCACATTCCATGAGGCTTCCGAAAATAAGACCGGATGATATTCCGGTTCAGACTGTATGACTTTGGCATAGGCATAGTCAATTACCTTTTCGAATAGATCCCAATTGTCAATCATGCCATCTTTCATATATGTTTGAATTTCCATATTGGAACGTGGAACATTTATGTAGGTGGTGTCTACATAGTATTTGTGGGTATCAGCATCTGATGAAAAGTGGAATCTTTTATTAAAATTATCCATTCATCTTTTTAAAAACCTAAAAATAACTTACTGTTTTGTGTTATATTATTATCTGTTTTGGTTTCCAAGTCCATATTAGTATCGGGAGACTGAGGTCCCACTCCCACAACCGAGGGAATTTCAGCTTTTGGTGTATCCTCTTGAGCATAGCCTACTCTAAGCGAATGATGACCTGGATCGAAGACTAGTGCACCAATTTCGTCACCACCATATAACATATTACCAGCACTCATGATTTAACAACTTTTTTTCACAAAATTTCGCATAAATTTATAAATTAATAAAAAATGAAATGTTTTTCTTGCAAACGCCGCTTGATTTTACAGGGTGTTGCAAAGTGTCTTTATTTTTGTCTAAACACAGAGTGGTATTTTATTGGGTATGTTCAGTGCGGATATAAAATAGAATGTAACAGGGTTGTAGTTCAAAGTTAGTATAAATCAAAACCGTTAATAAATATATCAATATAATCAAGAGGTTGTTTGTTTCTTTTTCAAAACTAAACTATTGAACCGATTTAAAAACTTATTGACTGTGAACACTCACTGACATTGTATAAAAAAACCTAAAATCGGCTATAGATCCTGAGAAAAACATGAAAATCCGTGATTATTTATGTTTTCCATCAAAAAATAGAATTTATATGAAAATCGTAAAATCTGCTATAGATTATTAGTTAACGTTTCAATTGATTAATAATAAATTTATACTAAAAATTAATTAAATTTTTTATGAAAAAATGTAAAATCCGTTGTACATTCATAAATATCGCTCCCACTGAGAAATCAGTGAAAATCTGACAACAATCATCATTTTCCCGCCAAAAATCGATTTTTATATGAAATATATATAAAATCGGCTGTATATCCTTAAATAACGCTACAATTGAGATAACAGCCATGATATCATTGATTAACAATAATTTTCTATTAAAAATTTGTTTATGAAAAATTTAAAATCGGTTGTACATTCACAAATATCGGTCTCACTGAGAAATCAGTGAAAATCTGAGATCAATCATATTCCACCAAAAATTGATTTTTACATGAAATATCTAAAATCAGCTGTATATCCATAAATAACGCTCCAATTGAGATAACAGTCATGATCTGTGATCAATCCCACTAAAAATTGATTTTTATATGAAAAATCTAAAATCGACGAAAAAATCTGTAATCACTTTAATTTTTCATCAAAAATGTTTTTAAATTTTGAAACATCTAGGTTACAAATAAAACTCTTTTTCTTGTTTAGCTTAAATTTATATTTCATCAGAATCATTAATGTCCAAGCGCTCATTAAGTGCTTTAATTTCATCGTTTAAATATTGATGGGATACTATTAAAGCAATTATTGTAGTCATTAAACCTTGAAGCTGAAAGTAAATAAAGTGATAAAAATAAATATTTTTTAAGTTAATTATAAAACATTTACGCTTAGAACTTACTATTAAAAAATTCCATGTATTAAATTCCACTAAACCAAAAAGTTTTAATTTAAAGTCTTTCGACAAAATACGCTTAATGTGTTTTAAAATTGTTCTGATTTCAACAGCAAATGGTTTATTTCCATATATACGCCCTACGATCATATTGTAGAGATTTTGTTTCTGTAAAATCATTAAATATTAATTAAAAACTTGTAATAAACATATTAAACACTAAATTTTTGAAAAATATAAAATTAATTTAGAATAAATCTATGGAAAACTATCTATTAACGATCCCCTTAAAATTTACTTACCGCTCGATTAAAACTCCAGCTCGTTATTAATAAAATCGCATAATCCATTAGAATACAAACAAATATGGCGGCATTGGCAACATAAAAAATACGACGATTACGATCTGTAAACAAAACTTTCCAAAAGTTTTCAAAATACACATGACCATAAGTGCCGGCCAAGAAACAATTAAAATTTAAACCCAACAAAACACCCAGTTGACGCTGTAAAGTGCCATCAAACACTTTCAGAAAATCCGCTATACAATCCAAGCGCTGCGAAAGTTTCCCATAAAATCCGTGCATGTTAGTATTCCCAGAATTTTGATTAAAAACTGGATTAACAATTTCCACTACTACAACTGCAGATTTGCTTTCCGCAACAATCTCGATATCTTGTTCTTTTAACATTTTACTTATATCAAACATTTCCCCTTTAATACACCACAAGCCTAAGGTATAAAGGCGCAAACAACTGGCCAAAGTAAAATGTGGTATAAATAAAGCCATACCTATCATTATATGATCCAAAGGTGGTAGTTCAAATTTTAGCTCTATTGCTATATATAAACCAAATGTTAAGCCCACCATTAACGTAGAGAAAAACATTAAATAGACAATAGCTTCCGAAAGATCAAAGGAATTTTGACGTTTTAAAGTTTCCCTGCAAATTTGTATTAAACCATTGGAAATTTTATTTAAATTCTTCCATTCCAGCACACAAAATATGAAGGCTTTAAGTCCTAGTAACACTTGCAAACGTACTAAATCCTTTAAAAATACTGACATATCCAATAACATTTTTAGCATGCCCGAATTTTCGAAATGATGGCAGAAACAGATGATATATATAAGGATTAGTATTAGGAAATATAAAATTCCACATATTGTTAGGCGATAATGTAAAGATTTTCGATCGTACCAACGTATTTGGTAACCCGTTAGAAATAAATACCCACTCGTTACGCGTATTATGCGTTCCAGATTCATGGCGAAAGTTTTAAATTGAACTGAATTCAAAAAAGTCTACTAGCTACTTAGTACATGTTAGTAATGAATATTCTATTGATTGATATCTGCTCATTGTCTGTGAAGTTTATGATTTAATAGACTTTTAAGTGCTATTCAGTAATTAAATGAATTATAGAATTTATGGAGCTACATATTTAAATTTAAAACTTATCAATCTATTTATCTATCTATCTATCTATCTATCTATCTATCTATCTATCTATCTATCTATCTATCTATCTATCTATCTATCTATCTATCTATCTATCTATCTATCTATCTATCTATCTATCTATCTATCTATCTATCTATCTATCTATCTATCTATCTATCTATCTATCTATCTATCTATCTATCTATCTATCTATCTATCTATCTATCTATCTATCTATCTATCTATCTACATATCTATCTATCTACATATCTATCTATCTACATATCTATCTATCTACTATCTATCTATCTATCTATCTATCTATCTATCTATCTATCTATCTATCTATCTATCTATCTATCTATCTATCTATCTATCTATCTATCTATCTATCTATCTATCTATCTATCTATCTTCTATCTATCTATCTATCTATCTATCTATCTATCTATCTATCTCTATCTACTATCTATCTCTATCTACATATCTATCTATCTACATATCTATCTATCTATCTATCTATCTATCTATCTATCTATCTATCTATCTATCTATCTATCTATCTATCTACATATCTATCTATCTATCTATCTATCTACATATCTATCTATCTATCTATCTATCTATCTATCTATCTATCTATCTATCTATCTATCTATCTATCTATCTATCTCTATCTATCTATCTATCTATCTATCTATCTATCTATCTATCTACATATCTATCTATCTACATATCTATCTATCTACATATCTATCTATCTATCTATCTATCTATCTATCTATCTATCTATCTATCTATCTATCTATCTATCTATCTATCTATCTATCTATCTATCTATCTATCTATCTATCTATCTATCTATCTATCTATCTATCTAATCTATCGCGCTACTTACAAATGTTTTACGAACCTTATGTCCAAGGTATATTTATTTTATAAGGTAGTGTTAAGGGCGAATTCAAAAAAACTTGGGCGAATCGAAATACAACACTGTACAGTATTTGTTTTTGTTTAGGCGAATTCTGGTGTAGGCACAATGTCAAAAACAGCTGATTTATAATATGAGGCGAATTTGTAAAAATTAAAAAAAAAAGTTGTTTGTAAATAAAAGATTTTTTGAAATATAATAAAATTGTTAAAATTCTTCGTAAGTAGCCAAAGAATTTGTCCAGCGTTTAGAAAGTTGTTTAATGATTTTCCCTATTAGGAACACTCTTCGGTCTAGACAAGAAAATGCTAAAATAACGTTTGTCGGCTGATCAGTGGAAGGCTTGTTTGCAGCAGAAGGACACAAAGGCTCAACAATTATTTATGGATATAATTATTTTAAATAATTGCCTTTTCAAGTTTTTAGTGAAATCTTAAACTACATAGAACTAAAACAGAATGGAATATATATCGTCAGTATATTATTGTTTTGCTCTCTTTTTTGAATGTCTTTGGGCACATTAAAAAATGTCCCACCTCCAGCCTCCACTTTCTTCCCACATATTTTGCAACAACGCATTGTTTTTTTTTTAATTTCACAATAATAACACTTTTATCACTCACAATTTTTCACAATTTGATTATAAATTTAGTTTTACTTTTAAAAGCACACTTTTAAATGTCAAATTAAAAATATAAACAAACTTTGACATTTTGCATACATTAACCAAACGTAAACAAAGTTTGACATTAACTCTACACCGCGGCGAAAAAACATGAATGTGAGCAAAAAATAGTCAGCTGTTTTGTTAACACTACCAAGGTATATTTATTTTATAAGGTAGTGTTAACAAAACAGCTGACTATTTTTTGCTCACATTCATGTTTTTTCGCCGCGGTGTAGAGTTAATGTCAAACTTTGTTTACGTTTGGTTAATGTATGCAAAATGTCAAAGTTTGTTTATATTTTTAATTTGACATTTAAAAGTGTGCTTTTAAAAGTAAAACTAAATTTATAATCAAATTGTGAAAAATTGTGAGTGATAAAAGTGTTATTATTGTGAAATTAAAAAAAAAACAATGCGTTGTTGCAAAATATGTGGGAAGAAAGTGGAGGCTGGAGGTGGGACATTTTTTAATGTGCCCAAAGACATTCAAAAAAGAGAGCAAAACAATAATATACTGACGATATATATTCCATTCTGTTTTAGTTCTATGTAGTTTAAGATTTCACTAAAAACTTGAAAAGGCAATTATTTAAAATAATTATATCCATAAATAATTGTTGAGCCTTTGTGTCCTTCTGCTGCAAACAAGCCTTCCACTGATCAGCCGACAAACGTTATTTTAGCATTTTCTTGTCTAGACCGAAGAGTGTTCCTAATAGGGAAAATCATTAAACAACTTTCTAAACGCTGGACAAATTCTTTGGCTACTTACGAAGAATTTTAACAATTTTATTATATTTCAAAAAATCTTTTATTTACAAACAACTTTTTTTTTTAATTTTTACAAATTCGCCTCATATTATAAATCAGCTGTTTTTGACATTGTGCCTACACCAGAATTCGCCTAAACAAAAACAAATACTGTACAGTGTTGTATTTCGATTCGCCCAAGTTTTTTTGAATTCGCCCTTAACACTACCTTATAAAATAAATATACCTTGAACACTACCTTATAAAATAAATATACCTTGCTTATGTCTTTAGCAGCCTCTTCGCCGTGTTAACATTCTACAATGAATGTGCTCTGAAATAGAAGAAGGAAAATTTATGGAAAATATTTCAAAGAAAAATTATAAACATAAACAAAAACGAAAAAAAAAAATACAAAAATAATAATAATTAAAAACACTTATTTAAATGGATACCAATGTAATTATAATAAATGAAGTTAAAAAACATGATTGTCTCTACAACAAACAATCAGAATCATATAAAGACTTTGTTTACAAGAATTCTTTGTGGAGTAAAATTGGCAGTGGTCTTGGATTACCGGGTACGTAATGCCAGGACATACATACCAAGACAATATTCTTCTATTTTTCTATGCTTACAGCTGAAAAAGTCAAGAAAAAATTTCGGAATTTACGTGATGCCTACACGAAGTACAAAAAATTTGTGGAGAAACCAGAGAGTGATATCTTACGCAAACCTTATAAATATGCTCAACATCTAACTTTTTTAGATGAACTAAACACAGCAGAATTGTAAGTTATAAATCAAAGAATAATAAGAAGTTGGACTATGACATTGTTTTACAACAATAACATTTCCTTCTCTTCACAGACGAGTTCTGTGTAAATTCAACACACTTGTGAGAACTCAATTCTCTCACAATACTTCAAAACTTTTTCTCGAAAATACCGGGATAATAGGACTTGAACGACGTTTTTTCACAAACACATAACTATTTTTTAATTTTTTACACAATTTTATCGCATTTAATAATCCGAAATATTTTTATTTTTCACAAACTAAAAAAATATTTTTTTAATTTTTTTGACAATTAATTTTTGTGTGTTGAAATTAAAATTGACAAAACAAAGTTGTATATTTTGGTATTGAAAATGAAAAAATTATTTAAAATAAACTTATTTTTTTGCAAAAAAAGCGACTTTAAGTCCGAAAAATATATTTATTAAATGTTTACTGATTAGATGTGGGCAAAATAAATTAAAAAATCTGCGAATGTAGAAATTTAAATATTATTTATTTTTCCTAAAATTTTTATGTACGATTTTATGCAAGTATGTATGTTTGGAAAGTGTGGTGAAAGTGGTTGGAGCTCCAATACTAATACAAAAATTCTACCAATACATACTTAGAGTTAGGTACCGAATGACAACTCCTTTACGTACCAACTGACAAGCCCCAATTTCTTATTATTCTTTGGTTATAAATTGTCTAAAAAGTTGTCAAATTTCAATATTTACTTTTGGTTATATTTCAGTAATTCGAATCATATACAGTGGTGGCCATGAGGTTAGCACATTTGGTATCTGTTAAATATAAAATCAAATATTTCCTATAGTTCTTAACTTTTTTAACAAATTCTTTTTTATGCGTAACACATGTCCTTCGAGGATCACGACACATTACATTTTGTTCCACTACTTTGTTGCAGATAGATTTCTTTCTTTCCAAAGTACATCTACCCCAAAAAAATCTGGACATAAGTTTAGCACAAAATTAAAAAATCATTAAAAAATTAAAAATAAAACAAAACAACCGGTTATATTTATCTTATTGCACTTAAGATTTTATATTTTGTGGAATAGTTGCAGATTTTGATAATATCATTCCTCCTCCTGGACATAATCTTCACCAGAACCCTCTAGAAATTTCAGCCCATAAATTGGCAAAATTCTTGGTGATTTCTGCTTTTATTTGTTGGTCCATATTATGTTATATGTTCTCTAT